GACATTTGAGTCAAATATAATATAAGTTTTTTGACTTTCTTAAATTAATTTTTATTATTTCCAAATCTATTATTATTATAGGATTTATAATTATGTTAATTCATATTTATTATTTAGAGTTGGTGGACGGTTATTTTTAGCTTAGTGGGTAGTTATTTAACCACGATTTGAGCTCAGTGGGTAGTTATTTAAACACATATTTAATTAATCCACTAACCCATTATCTCTCCTAGTGTGTTAATTTCATGCAGGGCAAGGATCTCTCGGAATCTATAAATAGGAAAAGAACCCAGTTCATTTATCACCATTTCTGCAGAGGGTTGAGAGCACAGAGCTGCGGGTGTTGGAACACCTTCGACACCACCCTGTTTTCCTTATGGATTTCTCACTGCATAATTGAGTATGTTTGGTATTCAATACCATTGAATACTGATTTGTATTCCTAAAGTGCTGCTAAGCAATATCATCATAGATTCTAGGAATTGGTTTGCAAAGAAATCAACTTATGATTTCTTATTAGAAGAGAAGATCTTGACTTCTCATTTATATTCTTTTGAATATTGATTTGTATTCTTAGAGAGTTGTTAAGATATAGAGTCTAGGAATTGGTTTACGAAGAAATCATCTTCTGATTTCTTCTTAGAAGAGAAGATCTTGACTTCTCATCTGTATTCTTTTGAATACTGTTTTTCGCCTATGAAGGCATCATCCACAAATATTTCACTGCATAATCTTTTTCAACAAAAGTTTTTGTTTATTTGAAATAAATCTCTAACTTTATATCGATTTATATTATTTTACACGAATTCGAAGGCATTGAATTCTTTCAGGAATATTCTAGAAGGTTAATTCATGTATTAGCTTATTCATGTATTTGGTTTAATTAAAGTTCATGTACTAGTTAGAGGGGAAGAATTAAATTAAATAGTAATACATGTACTAAACTAGATTCATGTTGGGAAAATCCTAGAAATACCACATAGACTCTAGCCATTTGGAATAAGTCTAAGTTTTCAAGTTTAATAGAATTCTCATATTCTCCTCCACTTACCGTATGTGTGTGTGGGTGTTGAGTGATTGTGCACTCCATTTTACTAACATAGTCGTCTCTAGCTATATTGTGGTCTAACGCATACAATAAATTAATGTTGTTGGCATATTATATAAAGTTCAGTTATATGTTAATAAAATAATTTCTTTAGACTTTTATAGATGAAAAGCGTTAGAGAGCAAGTGTGTGTATGTATTTCTCAATTATGTTCTTGTTCAAGTGTATTTCTGCTCAATACAACGAAGACCATTCAAATGAACTATTGGTTTCAGGAAGTGGTGAAGACAACAAAGAGTTATGGGTGATTTAAAAAATATTGGGGGAGCCATGTCACCCCATAACTCCCCATAACTCTATGTTATCTCCACAACTAGCTAAAAGTAATAGTCCATTAGAATCTTATCGCAATAATGTATCCAATGCATTATCCCGTTAGAGTTTTTAACTACCTTTCAGGGGGGTGAGTGTAATTATCGATACCACAGGCACCTTACAGTTATTTAAGCATACCTCAGGGGTGTGGGTGTAATTTACCCTATTATTTATTTATCCTTCCTTGACAAGATAGTCACTAAGACAGTTGCACCACATTCTTCCAGATTATTTTAATCCGTACAAAGATTGTTGTAACTTAATCGAGTACAACTCATGATACGTTTATTTTACGTGGATTTTATTTAGATTTAGTTATATTTGTGATTTAATTGGTAGATCTTGTATTTTACAGGTGCAAAACAAGAATCAGATGTGCATAAAGGAAAAATGATCAAAAAGAAAGGAAACAATTGCAATTAAGGAAATAAAATAAATATGGGCAGAAGAATCCCGCAACAGCTTTGACAGTGTCTATGATTTCAAGAATATATCTCTCATTCGAGCTCCAAATTACCTGATTCCAATGGCATTGGAAAACTATTTCAATGGGCTATAACTCTTATAACACACAATTTTCCCTATTTCGGACTCTAACGTGGAAAAAATTGGACAATAGATCATGTTGGGGAAAAGTTGCAGAAATTGAGTCATATTAGGTTTTCGCTACATCATAAGCACGAATTTTACACCAAAAAATGAGAAGACGGCGTACGAGCAAGGCGGAGGCATGACGAACTTCCGCCTTAGTTTAAATTATTTTATCTTTTCATAAGAATTAGGAGTAGCTAAGTTTTTATTTCTAGGATTTTATTCAATCCTTATGTGAGATTTGTGAACCATTTTCCATGATTTTATGGAAATGTTAATTTTAGATTATTTCTTCTACTTATTTTATTAAATACATGAATCTGGTCAATTTATGTTTCTTACATGTTATTATTAAATTTGAATCGGAATATCGATTTAATAATTAGAACTGTGGTAGAAGAATATTTGTTCTGATATCATAGGAATATTATTAACCTCTTAAGTGCCATAATTGAGATTTGTGCTTAATGCTTTGTTCCTGATTGAATTGATTGAGAATACAGTGATTTAGTCATAAATAAAAGATTCATAATACACACGACGGAAGCGGTTTATGATTAATTTAACATATCATGTTAGTAATCCGAATTAGTTTTTTGAATGATTAAAGGAATTGGGGGATCAATAACCATATCAGAAGAAATAAAATCCTAGACCTTTTTAATTTGATTATTTTTTGTTTTTTATTTGCTGGCTTGCTCTTGCTTCTTATGTAGTTGTGCTTTATAATTTAGTTTATTTTAAGTTATAGTGTAGCTTAATCAACCTCAAAGTCGGCTTTGTAGGGTGAGGTTGAACATAGTATGGAAAATATAGCGCTTAGGATTAGACGGTTAAATATTCCTCGTGGGATCGATACTCGGACATGTAGTCAACTATATTACTTGTTTGATATGTGCAGTTGCGTATAGATATTATCACCAACAAGTTTTTGGCAATTTGGTACGCAAGGAAGTTTTAAGAAGACCAAGTGGAGTGTTATGAAAGTCATTTCTATGACCAAGAGATTTATTGTGGAGGTGAGGAGGGGTGGTTTCAAAGTTCTTGAGCCGAAACCTCATATTCCCAATGTTCGATCAATGATTAACTGGAAAGCTCCATCGGAAGATGACATTAAAATTAATTTCGATGCCTCTCTGCTCGGTTGAATTTGGTTGTGGACTTGGGGCATTTGCTAGGGCGTTGGATGGCAAGTGTTTGTCTTGGTTCTCATTATGTTGTAATCAACAATTAGACCCCAATTTAGCCGAGTCACTGGTGGCATTTAAAGCTTTGGAATTTGCTCGGGAGCTTCAATGGAATAAAGTTTGTTGATTTTAAATGCCTATGAATATCTACTAATCTGTTGAGACAGACTACGTGTTACGACATTAGGTGTGGTAACAGAATTCTTGTGTTGTCACAGTAATTAATCTACTAAAAGCAGAATAAAGAACACAAGAATTTAATGTGGTTCGGATACAAATGTACCCTACATCCACGAGGACTTGCAAAACTAGTTCAGATTTAAGTGTAAATTAATAGGACTTAATAAAAACACTAAAGACTCCCTCTTTATGTAATATGCCGTTCTTGCACACGACTCGCACTTGTTGATAATCAAAGCAATTCCTCCTCCGCACTCTTGGACTTCCTCCAATGTTGAACTTCCTTCAAACGGCGGATCGACCTCTCCCGAGATCTTTTAAGCACTTCTCCCGAAACGCCGATCTTCTTTATGGCCTGGTAGAAGAAACCTATTATATTGCTACACCTGATGTGCCGACAGGGCTGCAGCACGGGTTGCACCCTTCAAAGCCTTTATGCTGGGATTTTTCTTATTAAAGCTCCATAGGACTCATATGAGGTTGAGGGCCTTATATAGGCACGAAATCGCCACCCTAAACCTAACTTGGGCCCTAAGAAATCGATTTAACTAGGTAATATAATCCTAGTCGATTTCTACTTCTATTCTAGATAAGTACAAAAGATATCTACCTAACTGGAATATAATACATGGAAATAAATCTAGGTCCTAATAAAAATATTACAAGAATAGGACTATAATTAATTCCAAAATAAACATGGAAAACAAATCTTTGTCAATCTTTAGTTTCCACGTATGACGGATTTCTTCAATCTTCACAAACAGAAATCTGGTGCTAACAAAGTTGTTCCTAAAGGCGATTCAAGTACTCTTATTACATCTCTTGAAGAGGAATTTGGCTCTCGTACTTGTTATGAAACTATCATCGACGATATAATACGGTTGGTGGAAGAGTTTGAGGAGGTTGAGTTTCATCATATCACTACTAGAAAATCACGATTTAGCTACGGATAATAGCATCGAACTATACATTCGTCGCTAAAATAGAGAGTTAGTGACGGAATTAGCGACATCGTACAAAATCGTTGCACTAGTTATAACACTTCACTTATAGAGACGGATGTTAGCTACGGATGATAAATTTGTTTCTAAATAAATATTTAGCGACGAAAATTAGTGATGGCCACAAATGTGTTTCTAAATATAAATACTTAGCAATAGATTTAGTGAAGGACGACATGTCCGTGACTAAATAAAATATTTAGTGATGAAAGTAGCTATGACCAAATTTGATTGAAAAAGTAAATATTTAAACATTTATTTTTCTTTACTACTATAAATTATTTTTAGTACACTAATAGAAAATATTCCTTGAGCAGGGTACACTATTATATTTATATATATTTAAAATTAAATTTACAACAAAGTAATAAATAAAATATTAAGCTAAAATTAATTTGAAGAACAATAACCCAAAATATCAAAAGTCTCACCCTCCGCTTCATTTTTATTATTTTTATAATCAGACTTTTCCTTCAAAAGCCGGTGGAGCCCTAATGCATACCCCATCCCACCATTCGAAAACCCAAGTCCAACGATAAAGGAAATCCTTCAATGGGTTTCACTCGATTTTTCTCAGGTTGGTCTATTTATTATTTTCTCCATTTTTATTGATTTCTATACAATGTATTTTGGAGAGGTAAGAAACCCAATTACTGTTTATGTATATATTATTGCTGCTTTTTAGGTATTGCTAGAATTACCCATTCAGATTTTTCAGTCAGGGAAGGAACGATTTACGCTGCTGCAATTCCTAATCTCAAGTTCTTCTCAATCTTATCCAGGTACAAGTTCTTTCTTCGGTTCGTTATTTAAGTTATCTATGAAAACCCTAGCATTTGCTTCTTTGCTCATTTGAGTCGTAGTTTAGATATTGAAATTACAATATATATTTGAAATCTATCCCAACTCCTGTTTGCAGGGATCCAGTTAATTTTAAGATTCTTTATTGGGCTTATGAGGTATGTTTCAGAATGTATTCTTTGAAATGTATTGTCCAATATTAATTTTTTTTTTTGTATTTGTGTGTTGGTGAATTTGATGATAGATTTGTTTTGTCTTTGTGTTTTGTTGCTAGAACAATTTTTATTCATAAATTTTATCAATACCTAGCCATCTTTATATATGCTTCCTTCCAATCTGAGTAGAAAAAGAAAAAAAATTCCAGTATCGATTCCTCTACTTACTGTAAAGGGAATTGGGTGTTGCAGCTATTTTCATTAGTTAACTTTGTGTTTGTGGATAACTTGTAGTTATTATGTAACAATGATAGATACATTCAGACTTTGTCAGATTTATGGTAATATAACAATAGAACTGGACATATACTCCACTAACAAGGATTGCATCAAGATGCTTATTGGGAACAAAGTTGATGTTGTTAGTCATTTTTTCCCTTGATTTCTCATCATTTTTTTTATCATTTATGTTTTTTTTATGCTTGCAAAAATAATTTCAAACAATCTGTATTTACTAATATTTTTTTGGTTACTTATTTAACAGAAATACTGCCAATTTAGTTAATTAAACAAGTTGTCGGTAAAGATTATGTGGGGCAATATTTTGAAGAGCTTGCACAGCACTGAACAAGGACGAGTACATTACTATGGTACTTTACTTCTAACTTGTCTTTCTGACCGTATGCCTACTTATTCCTTGCACTATGGAACAGCGAAACGGATCTAATTTTATACATGTACAATGGTAAGTCCACTTATCATTTTCCCTTTTCTTTTGAAGAGAATGGTGTAAACAGAGTAAATTTGCTTCTATTTATTGAACATTTGGATATATAAGCTAGATATTAGCCATTGAGTAGCATGATCTTTTAATATTAATGGGACTGATTTATGATTAGTGGCTTATATTTCTTCTAGGAATCTCCTCAAACATCAAGGATTTAAAGTGTTGTAGAAATGCTGCTGACTCTATGCTACTAGAATGCTACTGGAAGGAGACTGAGGTTTGGTTCGATTTACTTATCATTTCTCAGTTGTCTTATCTTGTCTCTTTCACCACTGCTTCTCTTGGTAATTATTTTCAGCCGCAATTGCTAAGTTGTAAGTTAAATGTTTTACCTTGCTATTTATCTTCATCCAAGTTCTCTTCTTTAGATTTAAGTTAATATTTAGCTAATCATATTTTTCTTATTTTATTTTAGAAGAAAACCATAATTCAAGATGCTATCTAAGTGAGGCGCATAAAAGTCGAGCACAATTATCTGCTGGAGAGAAGGTCGGCAACTCGGCAATGCACTTACAGAATATAATTGAAGTTTTTTATTCTATGGTGCAAGCTGTGAGAAGATTATTAGTAATTAGTAGGCCATTTGTAGTGCACATTTATAAAATTGTCTGCTGACTTATTATGTATGATAATTTTATTGGTAAATATTATATAAATATTTGCATTGAGCTATTTATTTTTTTTAAAAATTAATTATTTTTTTGCAACGGATGTAGCAACGACTCTGTCTCTATCAAATATAGTGACAAGTTTAGTGACGGATTATGTATTGCTAAAATATCGACGATTGTAGTGACGGATTAGTTTGTTCCTAAAACTAGCGACGGATTTGGCAACGTTGTTGTTTTGTTACTAAAATTAGCGATGGATTTGTACCTTACGTAGCTAAATTTTAGCGACGCGGCTTTTAGCGACAAATATGGATACGAGCATTATCTGTCGCTGAAGCTATATTAGCGACGGAAGTTAGACATTTAGCAACAGATTTGGCCGTAGCTAAATCATGATTTTCTAGTAGTGTATCTTACGAGAAGGGTATCGAGCGGCACACGAGATTGTTATGTAGAGAATGTGCTACCAGAATTCATCCTGGAGATTGTTATATCTGAATTCTCTCATTAATGAAATTTTTTTTCATCTGGAAAAGAAATAAAAAACTCATATACATATAGTGAATTGATTGTACGAATTAGGATTATAATACACGCGCACGACCAAAGGTTATTCTACCTTCTTGTCATTTGAAGTGTCGTTTTAGCAAGAAAAACTATTTCATATTAAGTGTCGTTTACAATCTCAATAAAAAATAAAATGAATTTGTTTTGTCTAACTATACAATGAAATTAATCACAAATTAATGAAATGAGAAAGACAAAGATAAAAAGTCATAAAAAGTAGTTTAGTCAAATAAGAATTTTCTCCCTAAAATCAAAATTATTCAATATTTCTTAAGCAGTGTACATATACCTTAAACGACACCTAAAAAAAAGGGTTTATTTTACATACCCCTAGGTACTAAATAAACTAGGGAAAAATCCAAGTCGAATTCTTCCTTTGACATACCCCTGGAGAGGCGAAAGTACTATACTACCCTTATATGCAATTTTCTGCCAAACTGCATTCAACAATTCTTGTTCTGCATTTAGCATTTTCGCTGATTTATATATTATAATTTTTTTTTACTTGTTTGTTTAATTTATATATTTCCTATCAATTTTTTTTATTATTTTTTATTTATTTATTTTTTATTAACTTTTTTTTTTTAATTTTTTTTGTAAAATAAATATGTTTATTGTACTGAAAATAACTACATGTAATTGTAGTAAACTATAGCCATTCGTAGTTATGTTCTTTTTTTTTACCCCATATTATTAGTCGATCAATTATGTAAACACACGAATAGTGGCTTATACAAAAGAAATTCATAAACAGTAACAACAAAAAATTACAAATTTCAGTTTATTATTATAAATCACCTCAAAACATATAAAATGCAAATCGAAAATACACAAATATATGCATATGTAACTACATGTAATTGTAGTAAACTATAGTCATTCGTAGTTATGTTCTTTTTTTTTATACCATATTTTTAGTCGATCAATTATTTACACACACGAATACTGGCTTATACAAAAAGAAATTCATATAAACCCCAACAACAAAAATTTACAAAAATCAATATTTATATTATAACTCACCTCAGAACCAATAAAATACAAACCGAAAATACACAAATATATGCATATGTAACTACATGTTACTATATGTAACTAGTAATGTATACAGTTTGTTGAACGCTGTAACTTGAAGAAGATGTTACTTCAACCAAATTTTTTGACACCTTTAAGAAGAGCATCAATGGCTTTCATTAAGCTGCAATAGCAAAATCAAAACAAAAAATAATTATTTTAGTGCACATCAACAAAAATTGAAGAAACATCAAAACACTCAAATCAACAAACACTAAGAGATAAAGAGATAGAGAGAGAGGGAGAGGCCATAACTGCGAAATGCTACGAATCTTAGACCAACCCGCCAATGGCTCCTCACTCCAATCGCCTCCTACCAAAACCCTAGTGGTCGCTAACCACCCAAGGTTCCGCGCTCGCAAATGAAAAAAATTATAGAAATAAATCTGACAAAAAAAAATGAACGAAACTACCGGTGGGTAGCGCGTCAAATTCCGACTGCCGGAACACAAATTACACCTCCGGCAAGACCAATCGCCGTCTAAATACGCACGGACTGCAAAACAATTGCAGAAACAGATCGAGTGCTCCAAACTGAATAAAGTCACCGCCAATAGAAAGAGCTCGACGAGAGGAATCCAACGGTAGTTAAACCATCGAATTTCGACCACCGGTGAGAGAGTTATGACTCCAGGAAGCAACTTCGCCGGTTGGAGATCTATGGGCGCGGGATTTGAATATGAGAGTTGAGAGAGGAAGAGAGAGACGACTGTGAGTAGCTAGGGTTCAAAACTGATTTTAAAATGGCATTTTAGGTACTTCAGGGTGGCCAAGGAGGGTATGTCAAATTATTAACGAAATAGAGGGGGTTTGCACTAGTGTGTAATCCACATAGTAATTAGTCATATATAATTTCGAAATGAGAGTGGTCTCCGAAATAATCCCAAAAAGAAAAGGCAAAATGATTCAATCTTTTTTCATCATTAACTCACAAAGATATTATTCAGTTGGTCTATTTTTATGTTTTTTTTTATTGGACATTTATCATTCATATTTGTGGGTTCTCTGATGTTGTGGTAACGAGGGAAATAGTACAAAAAGATTCAGCCTTTTTACACCATTATTGGCCCGCAAATATATGAATCATCATCTATCGGCTAGTCTTAACTCATCAAATGAATTGTTAACAAGAACTTACCTGGTTTTTGGTTGTATACCTTTTATTTGTATCATGTACTATTTGGGAGTAAAAGTGACTAGAAATATTGTGAATTTATATTTTGTTGGATTAGAAATGAAAAAGTTGTTTTTTTAATGTCATCAAATTTGGTGAACCTGCTAAGGTGGTAAATTTATATGTGGAGTGGATATCTCATGAAGCGTTTGCAGTTTGCAGTTAATCTGAAGAAATTATATTGTTCTTACACAAATTTAACTTAGTAAAAGAATCACTTGAAGATCTCTTTTTCAAATTCACATTTGTCTCCTTTAGAATGACGATTAGAATTATTTTGATATCTCACGGTATAGAAAACCTCACTGATGTTATATAAGTAATTTAGAGATTTTGAAAATTGAGGATTAGTGTTTTTTAAGAGAAGTTTTGGTATTTATGAAATTCCTCTTAAAATCCTACCTTTACATGAATGTGGGTGTCCTTTGTGTCATATGCGGTGCACATGCTATTTTCTGTCCATACGACAAATGGACGGATGGAAAAAACCAACATAAAAGTGGCATGTTTAGGGACGTAAATTGTAACTTCATCTTATTTAGGGACGAAAATGGAATAAGTGGCAAAATATAGGGACGAAAAGTGTGATTATCCTTGATAAATGCAGTTTGAATATTACTTGGTAGATATATTTTTTTGTGTGCAGAGAGGGATTTAATAAAAGATGTGAACCAAATGTTAAGTTATGTTTGTTATTTAGTTCTAACAAGTTTTGTCAACTGGGACCTATATCTCAAGTCCACTAACAAAATTTGAAAGAATAATTCATTGATGGTCCATTTGGATGGAAGGATTTGATTTGGGGGAGCGATTTGGAAGAAGGATTTAAAATCCCCCACAATTGCCCCAAAAATAATTAAAAACAAGGGGCATGAATTTGAAATTTTTTATCAAATCCATCAAGCCAAACAAGTGTAAGGAATTTGTGATACCTCCAAATTGTCCATCCAAATTGAGCCTAAGGCTTGGAATGAAAATATTGCATTCTGCTTGTGAGCGCAACATTTGATTCTTTATAAATCAATTTTATTATTTGTTATGATAAGTACACTAGCGTATCAAGAAAACCGGTCAATTGTATTAGGGTTCATTTGATATACACCTTTAGAATGGAAAATATATAGGGATATGTCAATCCCTAAAACTCTTCCTTTGAGATACTCTGTTGGAGAAACAAAAGTACTATTGTACCCTTAAGTACAATTTTCGCCCAACTGCATTAGTGTTTTAATCTCTGCATTCAGTACAATGCCCAATTGAATTTAACATTTGGACCTGCATTTATTATTTTTATAGATTTTTTTAAATAAAAAAATATAAATGTTTATTTTATTATTATTTTTTATACTTACCCTCTTTTATATTTTTTTTATTTTTTTATTTTATATTTTATTTTTTAATTTTTTTAATTTTTTTTTTTAATTTTTAATTTTTTTTAGAAAAACAATTTTGATAAATTTACTGGACTGAAATTGAACATACATGGCTATAGTATACTACACCTAACTATAGTATACCACAGTCATGTATAGAGTTATATGTAATCATGTAATGTTTTTTTATCCCAAAATTAATCTACACCAACAATAAAATTCACAATTTTTAATTTTGATATTATAAATCAACTAAAAAAAAACAATCATTTGCATATAATCTTCAAAACATGAACACACATTACTATACATAAAAAGCGCATAGCATACATATACTTATATGTTACTACACGTGACTATAGTTATCTACTATTATCTATAGTTGTATAAGTGGCATAAGTCTGGAGTACTTTAGCATGAATGCAACTTCACATGGCACTTCTCTGCGTCTTATTTTTTGCATCTCATAATGTTATACAAAGCAAAACATGTGACAAAAAAATACAAGTTAAAGAGCAAAATGGAACATGCGAGTTAGATTAAATGAAAAATACAAAAAAAAATGATTTTTTTTTATAAATTTACTGTACTGTAATCCACTACAAATGATTATAGTATACTACAGGTTCTATAGTCATGTATAGTTATATTTATCCATGACTATACATGACTACATATATGACTGTATATGACTACATATAACTGTATATTCACCTGACCCAAATCACCTATCTAAGTAACCACTACTGATTAAGTTTCTACTACACGCAAATAGAGCTCTCACACTTGAGGCATTTTGAATCATCTTCAAATAAATACAAAAAATAAAAGACATATGATTTATAACATAAATGAACAACATAAGAATCAAACATATTAAAAAATCAAATTAATCCAAAGAAAAAGATTTTAATATTAACTGTTTACAGATCTTAAAAAATATAGTAGATCTAATATTTTTTTAATAAAAAATCTAAGATCTGATTTGAGCCCTCCCTCAACCAAAGAAAGAGAAGAAATTAAAACAATAACGTAGAAACCATTTCACATGTATATAACTGTATAACTGTATATACATATAACTGTATATTCACCTGACCCAAGTTCTATAGTCATGTATAGTTATATGTATCCATGACTATACATGGCTACATATATGACTGTATATGACTACATATACCTGTATATTCACCTGACCCAAATCACCTATCTAAGTAACCGCTACTGATTAAGTTTTTCGGATCATCTTTAAATAAATACGAAAAATAAAAGACATGTGATTTATAACAAAAATGAACAACATAAGAATCAAACAAAATAAAAAATCAAATTAATCCAAAGGAATTTTTTTTAATATTAATTGCTCACAGATCTTCAAAAACATAGTAGATCTGGATCTTTTTTTTTTCGAATAAGAAATAGTAGATCTGGTTTGACCTCTCCAAACCAAAAAAGAGATTTGCAGATAAAACAATTTTAAGGCCAAGATCTATCACTGTATAAGTACTATATCATATATACCAAAGATATGTTTAATTTCCAAATAACCTGACCCCATTCAATATGGGAGTCCAAAAAATTTCTACTGTTAAACAATTGGCACGCCATGCCAATTTTATAGGCTCATTTTTAAGGCCTAAGCTTAAAGCAGAAGAAAACTTACATTAATTAAAAGATGATTTGTTTTATTTTAACAGAGAATACCTTCCCAAGCCTTTGCCGCCCGTCATCACCCCCCATCTATTGTGCATCTTCTTTGTCGGGGCCAGATCTACCGAGAAAGAGTTTTATGGATAAGCAAAGCCATATCCATAACCTTCAGCATAAAAAAAACACCGAGTCGATGCTCTTCTTCGACTTGTTCTCCGTTCGTCGCCGGAGACTTTTCTGTTTTTTTTTTTTTTTTGGGGATAGAGTTAGAGAGACGAAGAGAACGAGAGATGAAGAGAGGGAGGGGCGAAGAGATAAAATGGTGGTTGTTGTGGGTGTGAGTGAAAGAAAGAGAAGATTAGGGTAAATTGAAATTAAAAGGGCAAAACTGGTAATTCAAGTTACCCAGGGGTCTCACTTATTAAGATTAGAATTTAAATTTTTGACTAGGACAAAATAATTCATTCGACCTCCTCATATATATTTTCAAAATTAGGGGTATCACTCATTTACCCATTATATTATAGTTATAGTGTTACTACAAGGACTAATAATTGTCAATTTGTTTCTAGTTTTTTTTTTTTAAATAAATGTCAATTTGTCATTGTTATGATAAAATTATGCACTCTTGTTATGCCCAAATTTGTTATTTCTAAATAAATCAAAATCATTATATTCAAAAACTTTGATTCGCCCAAAAACATAATTGGACTTCCCAAACCCTATATTAATAATGTTTCAACTTCCAATTATGCAGTTAGACTGTTAGAGTCTTTATTTATTTATCTTGACAACCAAAGGAAACATGTACCAATCATACATACCCATGAACGTGTGATATAAAAAAATCCAAGAATCCAAGAATGCGCCATTGTTTTTAGAGCAATTCCCTACCTACACATCAAATTTTGAACTACCAAAAATCCTTACAAGAACACTGCCCCCTTCTAAAATGATGATAACGTACCCGATCTCTCACGATAATCTCCCGATCGTACACTCGAGAAATGATCTTCGCCACAGAGTGGCAATCCTCGCACACCCTCAAGTTCTTCACTATCCGAATTGTGTCTCCCGCTTCAGTGCTCAATATCCCGAAAGCTATAGCAAGCTTTTCGCTATGGTACTTCAACGAAGTCTCCTTCTCTTCCTCGCTAATATCAAACAACACCTCCGATGTATTCGGTTGATGATCCCCTTTTACCTCGATTTCTTCAATAAGCTTTTCCAAAAACGAATAAATATCTTTACTCCGAGGGTGTGAAGTATCTCCCACTTTAAATTCATGCACGGCCCCCTTGAGGTCTATCATGCTTCGCCCGACTATCGTTTTCACCCCTCTTTCTTTCATCAAGACTCTAAGCTTCTCAACTCTATCCCATTTGCCCGCCTTTGCATATATATTCGAAATCAACGTGTATCTACCGCTATTTTCGGGCTCTAAATCGAGCAAAATTTCACCTACTCTCTCCCCCAACTCGATATTCCCATGTACTCTACAAGCGCCTAAGAGCGCTCCCCAAACAACACTATTCGCCTTCATCGGCATAGTAGCGATTAAATTCTCCGCTTCGTCGAAGTACCCCGCCTTTGCTAGCAAATTAACAACACACCCGTAGTGCTCCACTTTTGGCTCAATTTCGTATTTTTGTTTCATATTGACGAAAAACTTTAAGCCCTCGTGCACGAATCCTGCGTGAGCACATGCATTCAATAGCGACACGAAAGTGATCTCGTTCGGCTTCACATTGTGCCATTGCATCTTCAAGAAAAGCTCGATAGCATCTTTCGCTCGGCCGTGCATTGCAAGCCCACCAATCATAGCGTTCCAACAAAATGTCTCTTCCCGTTTCTTTATCTTCTCGAAAACACCCCACGCCAAATCAAGACGCCCACATTTTGCGTACATATCGACCATAGAAGTCCCCAAAATTTCGTCAAGTGTCATTTTTTTCCTTCGAATATAAGCGTGAATCCATTTCCCTTGATCGAGCGCTCCGATATTGGCGCAAACAGCCAACGCACTAGAAAGAACGAATTTGCTTAACTCGATTTCTTCCCTTTGCATTTGACCAAAAACTTCGAGTGCTTCTTTAAAGTACCCATTTTTGTTGTAACCGTCAATCATTGCACTCCAAGTGACATCATCTTTTACCGGCACATCGTCGAAGTAATCTTTAGCCTCCAATACCATCCCATTGCCACATAAGCCACTAATCATCGTGTTCCAAGAACCGACACTCTTCTCCTGTATAATCCCAAACAACTCTCTAGAAGCTTCCACTTCACCAGATTTCAAGTAACCATCGATCATAGCATTACAACAAATAGTATCTCTTAACATTCCATTCGAGTCGAGCAAATTCCGAGCTTCTTTAAGGCGCTCCAAAGAGGCGTACATTTGAATTCCGGCGCTGATGATGTGGCGATCATCGTTAAGCCCGTTTTTAACGATGTGGTTGTGGATTTGCAACCCTTGGTCGAGGGCTCGTTCGAAGGTGCAGGCTTTGAGTAGTTGAGGGTACGTGTATTTGTTCGGTTTGGAGCCAGAAATAACCATTTGGAAGTACATCGAGATGGCGTCCGAGGGGTGCTTGAGATCGAGGCAACCCTTTATCGCAAAATTCCACACGAAAACATTGGGCTCCGGAACTTGTTCCAGGACGCGTAGTAAATTCGGTAGAGTGCCGAACTGCGGATTGGCGTAGCACTTGAGTAACGAACCTGCGATGTAGTGGTCTTGGAAATAGCCGGTTTTGAGGATTAAGGCGTGAGTCTGTTTCAGATTTTCGAAAGAATTTGTGCATTTTTGGTTTAGGAGTTCTAAGATTGCTTTATATGAGAGATTTGAGTTAGCCAAATTATTCTCATGAGTCAAGTGTTGTAGTGGTGGAGGATGATAAGGCAACTCTGTTATGGCGGGAATTTGTAATACTCCCATATTCACCTGCTAATTGGCCAATATTATACAAAGAAATTAAACATGCGGCATCCAACCTAGGATTAGTAAACATAAATCAATTTCAATTACTATTACAAGATAAGAAGAACAACTTAGTTATACCTGCTGCTGCAAAATTTGAGTGGATTTTTGAGAGTGGGTTTCCGAGATAATCCTGCAAATTTGTTTAAACCCTTGTTTTTCTTTCAATACCTGAACCAAACAGAGTATGAAATTAAGGATAGAAGTAATATGGTTTGAAATGAGGTAGAAATTGCAATCTTTCGAACCTGTTACAAGTTTTAAATTTCAGCTTGTGCTTTTTTTTTTTTTTTTTTTGATAATTAATTTCAGCTTGTGCTTGTTATAGTTTGTTTTTTCTCATTATATATTAGGTGTGTGGCTAAGGAACCGGATAATGTTTTATCCCAACTCACGATTTATTGGGACCAACGGTACAAGATATATCCATTGCCTATAAATATTTGCCAATAAAATAAGTAAATTTTGTTTTTGCCCATTTTCAATCTTGTCCACTATTTGTTTGTTGGGTAAATTACGACCACCCTCTAAAGTAGGGGCAAATTACGAAAAAAATCGTTATGTTTGGGTGATTACAACCATCCGTCAACTATGAGTGTTCTTACACGTCCACCATTATGATGTCAAATTCAACATAATCTTCTAGAATCCGTGGAATGTTCTCTAGTTTGTATTCGTTTTGTAAAAAAATGCAGTTTCTAATGCACCACAATCTATTATTTACAAGCCAAAAGATACATCTTATGATCATCTTGTTTCAAAATGTGGAGGTCGAATGGGGTAAAACAGGTACAAACTGGAGAATATTCTACATAATCTTGAAGATTCCACTAAGTTTAACACCACAAAGGTGAATGTGTAAAAGATTCATAGTTGAAGAGTAGTTGTAAATACCCAAACATAAAGAGGGTTTTCTTAATTTAACATTACCTTAAAAGGTGACTGTAATTTACCCTTATTTGTTTGGTTGCTCTTAGTGTTTTTTTTTTTTAGGTTATTATCTTACCTTTCTTCGATCAACAATGTCCCAGGTAAATTTGAGCAAATAAGTGATGTAATAATAATATAAAAAAATAATAATGGGATTTAATTATATTATCTACTGAGAAAGGAAACGCGACCTTACAAATTGGAGGTTTTGTAGACTATATCCAATGAAATACATTTGATGATGATGCAGATTGATCTACACATAATAAAGCACATATACGTTGTATACTTAATAGATGGTTATTTGCATAAATCAATTGCAAAATGGTGTATCATATCACTCATAGAACCAGATTGGATTTATCATTTTGTATGTCAAAATGCATGGAAATAATACTTTAATTTTCAGTTTATTACTTGTGATAAATGAATTTATTCATATTAAATTTTATTTTATTTTTCTTTTATTTTTGGATTAATAGGATTTGGTATAAAGAATATGTGGCCCTTATTTTTTATTGGCAAAATAAATAAATGTATGTCTCAAATTTAATAATAAAATAGAAAGATATCCTTAGGAAATGAACCAAATGGAGACTTGTGATCTTTGGTTATTTGCGTGTTAAAGCTGTTCCAAAGTCTACTATAGGTGATGTACACTATGAACTGGACATGCTGCAGCTTTTTATATAGATACAAAACTAAAGAAAATAATAGTGTAGATGGATATATATTCAGTTAAACCTCTTTAAATGAATACAATTGGAACTAACAAAATTCTATTAATTTATCGAAATATTAAATTATCGAACTCATAATTTAATATGTGTTTACAGAGTCGGGGCTGGAAGAAATGTTATTAGAGCGAGATTATTAATTTATCGAGGTTCTCCTGTCCATTAAAACTAAGAAAAAAAAGGTTATAATTTACAAAACCCTTTGTTGAAGGCTTACAAATATATATGCACACACAACTTTCAACAACTCCTAATAATGTACAAAAATACCACAGAAAGTTGCAAAAGACACACACACACACACACACACACACACACACACTAATTAAGGCATAATTCCCCAGTCAATATGAAAGATAGGGTCATCAGTATTAATGGACCGAGCATTCTTCATCTCCTCAACCGCCAACTCCATCACATGACATTCGTCCGGCGAAAGCACTTCCTCTGATTCATCGCCTTCCAAACACACTCGATAAACCGATTCCTCCTTTGGAAATTTCATTATTCTTTCATCAGTCGGATTAATGACGGGGCCCACACTTTGCCCCTCGCCATTCACATTAATCTTCTTGTTTTCGAGACAAACCGATTCCTCCTTTGGAAATTTCATTATTCTTTCATCAGTCGGATTAGTGGCGGGGCCCACACTTTGCCCCTCGCCATTCACATTAATCTTCTTATTTTCAAGATAAACCGATTCCTCCTTTGGAAATTTCATTATTCTTTCATCAGTCGCATTAATGGCGGGGCCCACACTTTGCCCCTCGCTATTAACATTAATCTCCTTGTTTTCGATCTGCTTATTATAAGCGGCCATCTCTTTATCATACCTCTCCTTGTCCATTACACTTGCTTCAATATACGGCTGCACGCAATATAAATAATTAAACAAACAATGCTATATATATATATCAGTTTAATAATTAAATTCGAATAATTTACCTGTTTGTCTTTGTCGGAGAGGCACCTCCACGTGTCAATTGCCATGTCTCGAAGATTTTGTGTATCGGAGCGAGTCTCTCCATAAATTACCCTTAATCTATTAATCTCCAATCGAAGGAAGATGTGATAAGCTGTCCTTGGCTTCAAAGGAGCATCAACTTCATTTTTTATTTTTTTATAATTATTCGACTCTTTTGGAAAAGAAATTGAGCTTTCGTTGCAATGCTTCCGTTTTTCTGTTGAGTCGCTTTGGCTCAACCCACGGCCCTTAAAACCTGCTAATTAATATCATCCACTAATTAATTAGATGGATTCGAAAAGTTTATCAAAAAAAATGTTAAAAGAAGAGAGTCGATTGGTTTGTTTACTTTTATTAGGCCATGTATTTGCGACTTGAGGTATCTTACGACAGTACATGAGTTCATATTGGAGAAGGAGTATTTCGTAAATGTTCTGAAGTTGAGCTGCTGATATGGATAAAGAGCTCTTCAAGTTCGACGCTGATGCTACGTCACCCCATTTTCCGAATTTAGTCACCTATATGGAATATCGAGAAAAGTTACAAAATTAGTGAAAGTGGAAATATAAATTAAAATAAACTCGACTATTAACCCCTGAATTTTCGTGACGTGAATGCATGTTGCAGAAATTACAGTTGAGGTTCGAACTGAGGATCGGATTTCAAAACCATTACCTAATTGTGATAATTGATTAAATATTCTCTTCAAACTCGAATGTGTTACAATTTGATTTTATTTACGAAAATGTGAAATTTTGTTTACCGATAACAACAAAAATATTTCCCTTTGCGATATCATACCGATGTAAGATACTTCCAAGCAAGATACTTCCAAGCAGGGCCGAGTCCACTATATTATACCTATATTCACTAGTAGAAAATTTGCTTATTACTACGAAATTTTTTTGCTACGGTAAAAAACCGTAATAAAAGGTATTTTTTACTACGGAACAATTTTGAAGTCATACTAAATACTACGACTTACCGTAGCAAAAAAAGTATTTTGTACGGCCATTTACCGTAGCAAAGCTTTTGTCACGCCCGTATATGCTACGGGGCAAATTCGTAGCAAATGCGTAGCAAAAGCCTTTTTACTACGAATTTGATACATTTTGCTACGGTTAATGATCGTAGTAAAAAGCCATTTTTCTACTAGTGTTTTTTATTATTTAGCCCATACAAAACTCAAATTAATGCAAAAAAAGTCATAATTTTTTTTTTCGGGAGTCATAAAATACAAATATGGAAGAGATGTACCTGATAAAATCCCCCTCTCTTCATCACTTCTCGGTAAAACTGATGCAAATCCAGCATTGTTTCACGAAGGTTAAATCTGCGTGCGTGCAGAGAAACTATCTCAACAACTCATACTTCGGCATTGCGTAAAAATGTAGTAAACACAACCAATCAGGGTAACATGGAAAATAAAAAGCAAATTCAAATACATATAAAGTTTAATGAAGCATATAAACCGCATAAGAAGACGGTAAAAATAAACAACAATAATAATCGACGTATTCTAGTACAATCAAAATCGGGAATTTCATTTAATTTTGCAAATTGCATTCTAGTACAAAACTTTAGCCCTTTTCCCCTGTTATAATCAATAAATGAGCTGCGTACTCTGCATTCGAGACACACATGCAATCTGAATTTTGAAATCTCTTTCGTGCAATAAACCGACGACAACAATCACCCGGTATCGATTTCAAGCCCTCGTCAAGATTTTGGGAAATTAAAATCTATATTTTTTATATTATTTTCTTACAACAGTAACAAAAGCCCATCAATTGATTTTTATTAAGCTTTTCAAAGACCATCATGCATGTACATATAGTCATTCATATATGTGTATATCTATCCAATTATACATACACATTTATCTCTGTGTCTGTGTAAGTGGCAAAAAGAAATTAACTAGAAATTAAAACTCACACTGAGCTGAGACCAGATGATTCATTCAATTTTGCAAGCTTTTCGTAGAAATGATCGACAGCCGCCTTGCCGGGATCACGAATCAAAACAGATTCTGGGTTTTTCTCGCCGGAAAAACCACCGGCGGAGTCGGCAGGCTTCTTCTCCATTCCGCCGCGGTTTCAGTTTTTCAGTTTGTTGGGCTCTTTGGGTGGAATTCTTACAGTTTTGACTATCCCACTATATACTTGTTCACAACTATTTTATAATTTATGGAATGCTGATTTAAATACTGTAAAACCAGCTTTGGTAGAGCAACTCTAATGTAAATATTAAAATTGGATTATCAAATGCTCATTTGATATTTACGATAATATGTCAAAATATATTTATAACTCATCTACTCCAATCATGGTAATTAAATTTGATTATCAATTAGAAGTTTTTTTATAATTTTATAGGCAAAATGAGTTTTTTAGTCCTCTAAGTTTACTAGTTGGGAGTTTTAGTCCACTATGTTTCAAAATTAGAATTTATTCCTGTAAGTTATAAAAGTTGAGATTTTTGATCCTATGACCTGCTGTAACAGGTAATGTGATGATTGGTAGAATGAGACAATGAGTTGCCATTTAAAATATAAAAATAAATAGATTAAAAATAAATTAGGTGATATGGCTAATGAGTTGGATGATTTTTGAGAGAAATTTTGATATTCAATGTCAAATGCACCAAAATAATGGGAAATGTTTAACATATTAATTTACAGATTTACTTTTTTGTTACATTTTTTCAATAAAGAACCTCAATATTGAATATACCATTGAAAAAAATCTACCATTATATTTTTACGAAGGAAATAATACTAACTAATGTTTCATTAATATTTCATAGTTTTTATTTGATAAAAATAGTAATTAAATCCATATTTATCTAAAGATTTCATTGTTTTAAAAATCTATATTTAGTGATTACAAGGAAATTGTACCAGCAATCGAATTCAACAAAAATACGAAAAATAAAACTTTCATTAAAACTTGTTGTAAAATTAAATCACATGCACAATCATAATTAATATAAAAAACAAATATGGATTTACAAATTAACCAAAAAATAATAAAATATATCAAAACTCCATTAAATTAATGTACCAAAAAATGTTTTAGAGCATTCAAATATAAAATACGTTATCAAACCAAGAGTAACAAATATCCATAACAAGTAATTAAATATAGTTAACTATTATTTTTATCAATTGAAAATAATAAAATATTAATTAAAAAATAGTTACTAAAAAAGTACTTATTTCATTCATCAAATAAATATAAATAATTTGATGGTATATTTTATTTTCCCGCAAAATCGTTCAACTCATTTGCCATATCACTTAATTTAATTTTAATCTGTTTATTTTTATACTTTAAATGCCAACTCATTCAACAAACCATCACATTATTTGTTATAGCAGGTCATAAGACCAAAATTCCCAATTTTTATAACTTACAGGACTAAAATCCTGATTTTGAAACATAGTGGACTAAAACTCTCAATTAGTAAACTTACAGGACTAAAAAACTCATTTTACCTAATTTTATATGTAATTGCCACATGTCAATTTGTGATTGGTTGGTTAGGTAGTTATTTTTTTGATAACTCAATCTGCAGGAAGTATTTTTAGATTAAAAAAGTTGAAATATCAAAATACAAACCCCTTTTAATAATCCCGTTGGAGAGCAATTTTTTTAAATTTTAGATGTCAAATGGTAGTTAAGAGATTTGATATTTAAGATAATATTTAAATATTAATTTACAATTCATCTACTCCAACCATTGTTATCAAATTAATTATCAATTGGAAGTTTATGGGTGGTTTTATTTGTAATTGCCACATGTCAACTTCTGATTGGATGTTTAGGCGGTTAAATTTTTGATAACTCAATTTCCAGTAAGTATAACATCTTCTGAGGTGAATTATCAAAATAGAACTCTCATTTGATAACTCCATTGGAGTTAAAAATTTGTTTTTTTTAGTATGTAAATGGTGGTTAAATGTTTGAATACTCTATTTAATAACTTCATTGGAGTTGCTTTAACTCCATTTGTAAACACCCGCATTTTTGGTAAAATATTAGTATTTTATTTTAGCATTTCTATGTGCAAATTTATTAAATTAGAGTTTAAAATAATTCTTGCATGATTTGTAATTACGTGAAAATTAGATGATTATGTGAAATATATGATTATAAAATTAGATGAGTATGTGAAATGTATGATTATGTGATTACGTGAAATATATGATTATGTGATTATGTGAAATATATGATTATGTGATTATGTGAAATATATGATTATGTGATTACGTGAATTATGTGCTTAGGAAATATTTTGAGATATTATGTCGAAATAAATATTTCTCGAACTTGTAAAACAAAATATTTTTCATGAACTAAGATTTTATTCTTGCATATGAATTTAAGTGAGCATTTTATCATATTTATGCATGCACAAAATTTTAGAAAATAAAATTAACTCATGCATTTTAGGATTATTAATTAGTGGAGAAAAATTAGAAAATTCTCCCCTCATTTTCTTCAATTTTCGGCCACTAACACACACACACATGATTTAATAATTGCATGTTAATTAGGAATAGACATGCATTATAATGCTTGTACTTTGAGCATTAAAATAAAGGGGTAATATGCCATAAGTCCCTCAAACGAAACCCAATTTGAACTAAATGACAAGTTCAAATCCAATCTTTTAATTAAATCCTTAGATTTAAATAATATATGAATGATATCCTAATTTTTTTTTTATTCCTATCTTACCCTTGTACCCTAAAACATATAACTGTTTGCGTGACGTTCTCTCTCGCCGTTCTCTCTCAAACTCACGTTTGCTCCCATCTCCCTTTTTCTCTCCTCTCTCTCTTCTTTTTCTCCACTAGCACCATGAAGGCCGCCGCCGCCGGCGACGGAGGGAGAAGGAGCAGGGGCGACGAAGAGCGTCGTGGGAGAAGGAGCAGGGGCGACGGGTTTTTCTTCGATTTGCCGGAATCTTCACTACGCGAAGAGGTTTTTGGCGATGAACCGTGAGCACAGCCAGATCGACGCGCCGATGCCGCCGATTGATTTTGGGGAGATTGAATTGGGGATTGTGAGGGGGTTTCCGTTGATTGGGAACTCGAATTTGATGTCGATTTGGCAGATTCCATTTAAGATGTCTGCGTACAGGGTTACTGAGAGGGAGAGGGCGAACGTGAGCCAGAGGGAGAACTCTGAATCGGGAAGCGATGGGGCTTCGACTTGCGACGAGAGCGTCGTTCCGGTGGAGGATCAGTTCACTTCGCCGTCAGGGAGGAAATCGTTGCTGCCTGGAAATTATGAACAGTAAAATCTCTATGTCGAAGAAATCGATGGAAGTCAAAACCCCCAAACAACCAGATAATTATTTTTCTCGTGTGTGTGTCTGTGTGTGGGAGAATAGAGAGGGAGAAAATAGAGATAGATTAATAAAATAAAATGATAAAAATGTTTGACGGTAGATACGCCGAAGGGGAGATTGAGTCGTATACTTCGACGGGAAGAGCGATGAGGATGAATTCGGAGAGCCAGCTACGATGATGACGATGAGTCCACGAACACGGAGAAGTTCCGGACACGCCTTCGATTCTGAACTGCCATAGTATATATACATATATATGTAGATATAAACATATGAAGTTGGAAAAAGATGATGATTATAGAACACTTCCATTTTGACTAGTGTCTCAATTATGCAGTGTTGAGCTGTTTTTTTTTAGTTGTTTGTTTTTAAATTTGTGATGAACTGAGGGTTATATTCATAATTTATTTTTTTTCTAATCATTCATTTCAATTTGAATTTTAAGTTATCTGGAACACAATATTGCAATAATTAGCTACTAACTTGAAAATTAATAATTGAACATGGTGATGTACGCGGTGTTGGGCATGAGGATAGCGTTCGCTGGTTTGCGGCCCTTGTGGTTGGGGATGGTGCCGCTGACGCAGCGATAAAGGGGGTGGGGGATGGCGACGGCAATGTGGGTGGGGTTTGTGATATCTTTAGCGGCTTCACGTTGGCTTTAGCGGCTTCACGTTGGCGTTCGATTTCATGTCTACAGTTGTCTATGGGTGTCTATGGTGTCTAGCGGCTAGGATTCAAAGGAGGAGTTAGGGTTTTAAGAATATTGTGACTACGGAGTTCGATTTCATGTCTACAGTTGTCTATGGGTGTCTATGGTGTCTAGCGGCTAAGATTCAAAGGAGGAGTTAGGGTTTTAAGAATATTGTGACTACGGATTACTACAGTTTTCTACGAGTGTCTATACGTGACTACACGTGACTACGGTCTACTACAACTTTCCTACAATTTTCTGTAGATGACTATGGCTGAAAAAAATTTAAAAATTCATAATATTCAATATTATGTAGAGAAAAAGGAAAAAATAGATTATTATAATTATGAAAAAATACGAAAATGCAGAAAAAAAAATATTCGACGAAAAAAATAATAACAAAAATGCTAGATGTAAAATTTAAAATATTAAATGCAGAATGAAAATAATAAAAACAGTTTAAATATTACTTTGTGCAAATTTTATTTTTTGTGTATGAGGGGTATTTTTGGAATGAAATTTATAAAGGATGTGAAGCAAATGTTTAGTTTGACTTGTCATTTAGTTCTAATAAAGTTTCTCACAAGGGACCTATATCTTAAAGCCCCTAAAATAAATACCTAAAGTCTAGTCTCACTACTCACTAGCTAGGAACACCTTTTTCACTCCCACACTCCACTTCAGTAAACCAAAGGTCACTCTTCTTCTTCCTCTTTCTCCTTCATTTCGGCAGCCCCAAAGCACCACCATAGCCACCACTTTATCTAGCTTAAGCCACCCAAGAACCACCAATATACCTCTTCCAAAATATTGCAAAAACACCCCCACAAAAATATGTATTTCCCTTTCTTCTTCATTGGCTTTGAACTCTCCAAAAACTCTATAAATACATCCAATGTCCAAGATCAAAATACACTCTCAAACTCCTCTCTTACCATTTATAAGTTTAAGGTCTCCTATTTCAATAAGAGGAGAATTTTCGGCCAAGGCTAAGTAAGCCCTTCTACCTCTTCTTACTTCTTTTTTTTTCCGAAAGAGCTAAGCCCTTCTTCATCAAAGTTCTTCTTGTTCTTCTTCTTCTCTTTCTTAAGATATTATCTAACTCTTTATCTCTTCGTGCATTAGAGAGAAAAGAGCTAACAAAACCTTCCCCGAAAGAGTAGAGGTGAGAATTCTTGAATTCTTGCTCAAACATGCAACACCACTAGTATTTTCGGTTTTCATTTAATTTATTTGTTGATTCTTGGATATTATGTGGTTATATTGCTTAGATGATGATTGCATGTTACTATTTTGAAAAGATAAGTTTGTTCTTAATGTTCTATGTTTTTCGAAAATTTAGGAAAAAATGCTTAAATTGCTTATTTGGTTTAATTAGTAGCTTGCATGTGTTTATATAGGGATTAATTGTTGATTTGTGAAAATAAATCGAATTTTTGGCTTAACTATGAAACTTTCGAAAATTTGAGGAAAAATGTATAAATTGCTTATTTGGTTAATTAGTAGCTTGCATGTGTTAATCTAGTGTTTGATTGTTGATTTGTGAAAGGAAATTGAATTTTTGGCTCAGCTATGAAACTTTCGAATTTTTGGGTAAAAATGCATAAATTTCTTATTTGGTTTATTTGGTATCTTGCATGTGTTAGTCTAGTGTTTGATTGTTGATCTAAGGCCTTGCATGTTAAGATCTACTGATTGATTGTTGATCTAAGGTCTTGCATGTTAAGATCTAGTGATTGATGGTTGATCTAATGTCTTGCATGTTAAGATCTAGTGTTTTCTATGAAGATTGATGAAAAAACTACGAATTTGTGCTAAACTTGATTAAAAGACTCTTGCATGTGAAGATCTAGTGGAATTACTTAAATAAAATGCAAGGATGAAAGTCTTGAACTTTCTTCTTTTTAAATGTTAGAATTAATGAACTTTTAATCAGAGATTGTCTTTGCATGTTAAGATTTCTGTTAGTGCTTGTATTTGATTATGGATTTTATTTTTTATGCCTAAATGACTATATGGAACTTTATTTGCGTTTTGCTATGTGATCTTGCTTCTTTATGTGTTGACTATTGGGTGTGAGGATGAGCAAAGGGTAAGTAGATGGGTTCATGTGTGGGTGCATAAGTGTCATGATTTTTAAAAGGTAGAAATATGTTGGAAAATCTTTCGAGGTTACTGTAAATAACCGGGGTACGACAAGTCGGTACCGTAGGGCCTATGTGGTTTGATTCCACCTAGATAGACGGATTCGTAAAATATGAGGTTATTTATCGGGAACTTAGATTAATTCTTTCAAAGGGATTCCCGATGATTTTTCATGTCATGCATGTCTTATTATGGTGTTGAAGATATATGTGGAAAAATCTCACTCCATGGTCTTTGGATCGTAGGGTTATAAAGGTGGGAGATTCTCACTCTATATTCTTCAATACGTGTCATGGCATAGGGTTATAAAGGCGGGATATTCTCATTCAATGGTCTTGGGATCATAGGGTTATAAAAGTGGGAATTTATCTCACTCTATGCGCTTGACAAAACTATGACGAAGAACTCCGACGAAAAGGGAAGTATAAAATTGCTTTAATTTATGTTGCATGTATATGTGTAATAAAAATATATGTATATCTATGTATGCTCTATGTGTTATGTGTATTCGATAATACTTCAAGATTCTCATTTAGTTTTCATAGGCTCATATAGGTGTTGTATGTTTGTAGGTATACCCGATTTGGAGCCCGAGGAGTGAAGATGGGAATCGAGCTTGAGAATCGGGAGGAGATCATATGGATGGGTTGTGGATTGTGTTGGCTCTTTAGTGATGTAGTTTTATTTGTATAATATGCTTGTAAAAATATTTGATACAGTTTTAGGTATTTTCTACCGATCGCTTCCTCCGATCGGTGGAAATTATGAAAAGATGATATGTGTAATAGTAATTAGGATTACCCTCTTTTGGTACTAATAGTATTTTGTAAACGAAAGAGAATTTTACCAACTATATGAATACACGCTTTTCGGCTAGTAATTTCTTTGTGTCTTGTCTTGAGTTTCCGTCAGGTGTCATAGAGTTTCGGTCTCCAAAACGTTTCCGAAACGTTGAAACGCGTGTGGTTTGACCGTGCATCATAGTTGTTACGTTAATAAAAAAAAAAAAAATAGGGTACATAGCAAATAGTCCAATGACAAGAGCACTTAATAAAAAAAGGGACATCCAACTTTTTTGTCTTGCGAATTAATCCACCTCATTGAAACTTATTTGCAAATAAGGAAAACCCTTTTATATATACCAAAATCACCCCCGATTAATTGGAACCTCAATTCAACTCCAATTTAGATCAATTTCACCAATTAACAAATTTTGACCGCCACCGTCGGAGACCGCCGGTCAGCCGTCGTTGACTGTTTTTTTTTTTTTTTACGGCAAGTTAATTGGTCTCCGGCGTTGATTTTGTTTACTTACAAAAAACTTTTTTTTCTTAAAATAATTATTTTCATTAGTATTACTGTCTTGGCCAGCAATATTACTGTCTCGGTGACAGTAATATTGTTGTCTCAGATAATTAAATTACTGTCTTATACAGTTAGATAACTCTATGAGACAATAATTTTACTGTATTAATGAATTTTATCGTCTGACTTGCAATTTTGCTGTCTTCGACGGTAATATTACGTTCTCCGACCGTAATTACTGTCTCCGACCGTAATGTTACAGTCTCATGCAATAATATTACTTTTCGGGCAGTAATATTAGTAATATTACTGTTTTGGCATTCAATATTACTGTCTCAGAGAATAACTTTGTTATTGACACAGTAATTTAGAGAGAAAAAACATTCAAAAAAAAAAAGTCATCGCAAAATCTGGCGTTCAGAATAGAAATTATTTTCTAAGAAAAATATATTTTTTCATAATTATGAAAATGTGGGTTATGTGATATATTTGTTCAAATCCGGGGTCATTGTGCAATATTGATGGAGTTAGAGTATAGTGGATGGAGTTGATGAAAATTATATTATAAAGGGTATTTTAGACAAAGAGACATGAGATGTGTTTATTTGCGAGACTGTTTTTTATCTGGACCTATGTACATTTAAGTCCTTTCTCATGAGCCTTTTTATCATTTGCCCATAAAAATAAACAACAAATAGTTTCAAGTCAATATAAGGTATAATATTGGTTTGAATAAAATAAATTAATGCGTGACAAAATTATAAAGTTTACTTTTTAATTGAGAATTTTTATTTTCTCCATCAAACTATTTTTAGTTCTTACTAAAGATATAATGCTTAGAGTTATTTTTTTCACCTAGTTATCTAGGTGTTTGCAAAAGTTTATTCAAAAGTAAAAGTTAAAAGCATTAAGTGATTATTTCTAAAAGTTGGGATTATTTGCAAATATTATCGAAAATGAACTTAAGTGGAAAGAAAAAAACAAACATGTTTATGGGTTTAAAAGATGGGGTTGTCTAGGGTCCGAGAGGGATTGTACTTCTCGGACCTAAACGATTGAATCTGGGACGTACAAAATGTTCAAATTTCGATCTCATTCATTGACATTTTGGTACGACCTAGTACGATCCAGTACGACAGTAAAAATTTGTACGAACTCAATAAAAACGCATCGTACACCATCGTACACTCATCGTACTCTTTGTAAATTACTATCTTAACCTTATAAATAATATAAGAAAATAATATTTCCACACAATTTTTTATTAATCCATTCTTCTTCTTCTTTTTTTTTTTTTTTCCGGCCTGGTATGATTGTAAAACAAAATCAAAATTCATCAATTATTTTCAAAGAACTCTCTTTTCTTTCGTCGAACAAGACCTTTCATCACCTCTGTTCATGG